TCCAACCGCCCCCCCGCGGGGTGCCCGAGGCCCCCCCCGCCCCGCCGGCCGCCCCGAGCGCGCCACGGGCTCCCCGGGCCATGCACTGCCAGGCCGAGATGCGGCAGCTGAAAGCAGCCAGGCGGCGCTACAAGACTTTCATGATCGACGAGATCCTGTCCCGGGAGACGTGCGATTACTTCGAGAAGCTCTCCCTCTACTCCGTCTGCCCCTCGCTCGTCGTCCGACCCAAGCCCCTCCACTCCTGCACCGGTAAGCGCCGCGGAGAGCCGGGAGGCGCGCGCGGGGTGTGTGTGTCTGTCTGGGCGTGTGGGTCTGTCTGTCTGTCTCTTCCCCGCCCCACTGCTGAGGCTCTGGGAGGTCGAGATTCCCTGATGCCCTTTGGAGATTCTCTGCCGGAGCTAAGGAACCGAATCCGTCCTGTGAAGCGCGTTTTGGAACGTGAGAAACAGAAGTCTCGCCTACCCGAGGAATGAATGAAGCCAGTTTTGTATGTTAGAGATCAGGGGCTGGCGGCCCCAGGGCCAAATCCAGACCTGGAGAAGGTGCCATTAACTCCCCGCTCAAGTTTTTGTCAAGGCAGATGCACACAAGAGAAGGTGTGCTCGCTCCGAGGTAGGCAAGAAAGGGACCTGCTTGACGGTCCAACGGTGCCTCTTCCTCAAAAATGGCCTTTCCGTAAAAATGGTTACTGACCCGGGTCACAAATTTCTGGTTGCCTTCACTTCTTGGCACCTTAGGCAAATGATTGGTTATAGTAGGTCAGTCCACTAACATTTGCCCCTAGAACTTGGATGTTCTTCTGTGAGGAAAAATCAGGCCACTGTTTGATACTTTGGAGCGCATATCCAAAGAGAAACAAGTGCCATTTCGCCCAGCCTATCTCTTGCTTCTTGACTCACATCAACAAAACAAACATTTGGGGAATAAGGACCTTACAAGTGGTAAAAGACACCCTACACTCAGGAAGGAATGGAGGTGTTGAGAGATTCATAGCCAATTCAATTCAAATACCTTTTATTGGCATACAATATTGGAAGCAGAGATTCATATTGATCCATAGTGATCCATCTCCCTTGCGGAGACCCAAAATGAGCGGTTGAAACTCTTACAGTGCAGGCACACACAAATTGCCTGGAAAATATCTTGGGGGTTGATTCTGTTCAGGGCGGAAGTCAAATGGTCTGTTTGAATGACACGTGGGCAGATACATGGAAGGTTGAGCCCTGAGTGGAGTGGACTGTGTGGAAAGAACCCTCAGCTGGGAAGTGTTGTTGAAGTGGGACAAATCAAGGAGGATCAAGTGGTGTTGCCTTCCCAGGGACATCTTCTAAGCCTGCTCTAGGAAACACCCTCTTTCCTGATCCTAAACACTGGAGAATATGTCTCTTCCCATTCTTGAGATGTGTGTGTTGGTGTGGTTTGGAATAAGGTCCATACCAGGACTGAGCTAGCACAGGGTGGGCAGACTGTCTCTAAGCATGGCTTCAGAAATTCCAGTACTTCTAGTGGATTCCTGATTTTGGTGTGTAGAGTCCTAGAATGTTGCACTTGCTATGAAATCCCCACTGAACTCCCTCATTGATCTTGGGGAAGTCCTTCTCTCATATGGTTGCTCTGAAGCTAAAATGAGATAACCCCAATCATGCCTCTGGGACCTCACTGGAAGAAAGTCCCATAATAATGTGCAGGTGGTTGGACTAGATGACCCTGGAGGTCCCTTCCAACTCTATGATTCTCTGATTCCAATAAAGAGTCCCTCAGGCTTCTGTACAATTTAAGACAATGGCAGCCTATTTCCATCCTAGGAAAGAAGTTTCCCCTGAGATCCTGTCAAGCAAAAGAGCTGTCAAAGGTTTGCATCTTTAGAGACTCCTGGTCACTAATGCAGGAGCTCAAAAGTGTACAGTTAAGGTCCGCGAATGAACATTTCTTGGATATAGATGGAGTACTCTCTGGAAGTAGCAAAACACAGACTGGGATCTCAAGTGTGTTAGGCTGTGTATGAATTTACTTTTATGATGAAACTTCATGGGCAGTTGTGATTCACCCCTGGGAAATATCCTGGCAGGTCAGGATCTGTGAACTCTGCAGGACCGAGAACTGGAGATGACGGAAAAAAATCTTGCAATCCATTTTTGTTGCACTAAGATATCATACAGAGAAGTGTGTGTGAGTGTATACATACATATCAATATAGACACAGAAGCCCAGTTCTGATTAAATTAAAAAAATTGTTTTTAAAAAGGTACAATTTGATCAGAATTAAATGATCTATAAAGTTACTTGGATAAATTATTAGGGACTGTTTTCAGCTTAGTGAAACTAGGACTTAATTTTTGTATCATTTAATGTATCATGTTAAGACTCATGCTTTCCTTCAGTTCTGTTTTTAGATTTCTAATTGGTTCTTCGACCCTAATCCTATTGTATAGTTCACTCAATACCCCCTCCGGCTGATTGTATTGACCCACTCCGTGTTATCTGCCTTGAGTTCAAGTGAGAACGGTGGACTATAAATGACATAAAATCAAATCAAAGAGTGAAGCACTGGGGAGTCCAAGGGGCGTGAGATATATGTGTCATTAGAAGTGACTGGACTTGGTTGGTTTATACCCACAGAGGACTTTTTGTTTGTACAGGGGATTCCCATTCAAAATGTTAATTTGCTCACAACACAGTCTGGGAATGCGGCTATAGCCACATCTATTTAGTTGGGAATTATCTAGGATTCCCACTGAAGGAAAACAAGGGTGGTAGTCAATGTTCCCTCTAAGCTGTGGAATCTTGTGAGCAAAAACTCTACTTTGTGAGCTACCGGCATTAAAGTTGTGAGCGAGTGATTTGTCTACTGCATAAATTAGTTTGCTCTGGAGCCCTCCTTCGTGAGCTAAGACAAAAATGTGTGAGCCGGAGGCTAAAAAACTATGAGCTAGCTCACCCTAACTCAGCTTAGAGGGAACACTGGTGGTAGTAGATTGTAGCCCCCCCCATGGCCCATGGATACTTCACCTGGTATCAGGTACTATTCTAGTTGCAGAGACATGTCACTCCACATGAGGAGAAGGGCCCATCCCTCCGAGGCCTTTTTGAATGCATTCCTTTTCATAGCATTTATAGCCCATTTTAAGATTCTGATGCATGATCTGTGTGCATGATTTATTGCTGTCACAGAGGACAATAGATGAGCATTGTGTTCATGTGGGTTTGGTACTAATTTCAGGCTGTTTGTTTTAATGGTATGGATGATATCGCGGTTGCTCAGCTGCACTCTGTTTCTCGGATAGGCTCTGATGTTTTAACTCCCTCTGAACTTAAAAAAGACACCACAAACAATGAGATACTGGACAAAGTCACCGACCTTACAGTGAGGATGAACTGTTTGAGCTGTTGGGTTGGATAACTGAGTAGACAGCCCATGGCTGGTTTTCTCTCTCCCTCCTCCCCCAGGCAGCTTCTAAATTCAGCCTTCCTATAGCAATTAGTACCCGGATCTGGATAGCCAGGTTAGCTCTATCTCATCAGATCTTGGCTGCTAAGCAGGATTGGACTTGGTTAATGTTTGGATGGGAGACCACTGCGAAGAATGTAGGCAGGCAGTGGCAAACCACCTCCAAATGCCTCTTGCCTTGAAAACCCTATGGGGTCCCTGTAAGTCGGTTGATGACAGAAAGAAAGAATTAGTAGCAAAACTCTAATTGATTTCTTTGAGAGAAAACGTTGTGTCTTTTGTCTCAGTTTTATAAAGCAGATGTTTTACTGCTCGGGACAACCAACTTTTCTGAATCATGAGTCATTTTTTATAAATACTTAATTCAACAGAAAGATGTGTTGCCATTTCAGGTCCTGTCACCGAGGGTTCTGCAGGTGAATGCTTTATTTGGTTTTACAGTTGCATTAAGGAAACAAAATCCTTCTAAAATTCCAGGAACCTAAGAAATAAACCTGATGGTGGCTACATTAATCTGTTAAATTAATATATACTTGTGCAAATGTACAAAAAAATAGGGACCATCAATTTGCATTAAAAATGCTTGAATGACATTCCTTTGAAAATTAAAAAGTGGTTTCAGTGGTTTATTAAGTGGCACCATCAACTCCTGTTTTGGCTTTTCTGGAAATCCATCTGTGCATCTTTCTGTTGATCTGCAGCATTGGCTTTATTTGATTTTGCTCCGATTCTGACCAATGGGTAGTAGCCAGAAAGGGAAAGGGATGTGTGCTTCAAAACCGAAGGCCCATTAAAGAAAATATTCCGGAGCATGCTGAGTTCATTTCCAAGCAGAAGCTTGCCAAACCTCCTGGCGAAACTTTCCCCAAATCTTCCTTACGACGTACAAAGACAAATACTCCCTTATAATGCAGTTCTAAGCCGAGTCACACCCTTTTAAGCCCATTGACGGCAGCGGGTGCAGACGAGTGTCGCTTTTCGGGATTGTACTGTTCGTGAAGGCATTTGCTCTTCGTTCTCTTCCTATTTTGTGTGGAACTCTTGCCCCATATAGAGGAGATTCAAAGGGGAATCATAGCAACCATCTGGTTGAATTCTGTCTAACCTGCCCGCAAACACATACACACACCTGTTCTATATGAGCAATTTGAAAGAAGATCTGCAGAGGTGGGGTAGAAATACAGTCTTCATACTATCACTTTTTTGTGTGCGTGTGGATGGAATCTTTAAATAAATAGGAATATTTTAATGAGTTGTGTCGAATATCACAAAGTTCTTTCACTATCGTCCTGGTCCCATGGCCTGCAGTTTTGTAAGCTGTAAGTGTGAGGTCATTTTGTAGTAACATGAGATGATTCACTTGCCGCTCATGGATGGTGCTGTTGTGAACGCTTACCCATTTCTGTTTGCTCAAGCCCTAATTCTGTCGGTGCTCAAAAAACAATAAATCAGTATTCCTCAGAAGTTGCTCCAGTAACCTCAGTTGTTCTTCGCCCTAGGTGGCTCTGGCCGAATTGGCTGCAGATTGGCAGCTGCTAGAATATAATTCTTAGAGCTGTCTATAATACGGAAAACTGTGGATTTGCTGGTGGGATTTCAAAACAACTCCTCACCAAATTATTACTAGCATTATTTTATACACGGATATTCATGTACATCGCAATTTCATGCATAAGCCAAAGAAGCAAAGAACCATTTTGTATCTCTATGAGCCTGTGATCTAAAGTTTGACCATGCAGAGAAAAGAGAGAGATATGGAAGGGTTAGTGAAGTGTGACTGTGAGAAACACAGTGATGGATT